CATGACTGAGCGGTTCAGCTGACGCAGATCTAGAATAGGACGCAATCCTTCTAGCGTATACTTACATTTTACCATCATACATTTTACAGTCCATCACTGTTAGGCTATGTATCATACCAGCCTGGTCTCATAGGAAAACTTAACAATTTTACGATGTGGAGATTTTGTATGAATTTGTAATAGGTGAATTGTAACATATAATTTTTAGAAAAAGCATCTAACCCAAATCCTAACCCAACATAACCCTCTCTGGGGCATGAGCAGATTTAACCACTAATTCACTAAAATGTAAAACTGTTACAAATTGCTATGAGATTGTGTTGGTTATACACATTTTCAATTTGAAAATCACTGTATGGTCATTCGTATAGTCATATTATAAACACAGTCTGTTTTCATAAAGGAGCTCACAGGAGCTCAGATGTTTTAACACTGGCAGAATTCAAAAGCAATTTATTATGCCAAACCTCTAACCCATAGGAAAAAGTCAACATGCGGCAACCGTTTAAAGGAAACCCAATTCACATTGATCACTAAGAAAATAATCCTACTGCATGAACAGATCTACCTTAGGAGAAATCATTACATCAGGGTGATCTACATTTATTATAATGTATTGTTTTACATCCAGTATTATAATGTAATACTTATATTATATTATATTTAGTCATTTAGCAGACGCTTTTATCCAAAGCGGCTTACAAATGAGGAGAATAGAAGTAATCAAAATCAACAAAAGAGCAATGATATGCAAGTGATACATAGCAAGGTTTTTTTATTATATAATAAATAAAAAGAAAACAGATAGAATAGAAAAAGAACAGAGCAAGCTAGTGTTAGAGGCCTTTTTTGCTTTTTGTTAATTGTATAATAAATAAAAAGTAAACAAATAGATAGAATACAAAAAGAATAGAGAAGCTAGTGTAGCTTTTTTATAAAGAAAACAAACAGTTAGTAAATGAATAGAGTGCAAGTCTTCTTCTTCTTCTTCTTCTTCTTCTTCTTCTTCTTTGTCCTAGCGATTTTCCCGCTTGGGTGCAGGGTCTGCTTTTCTGCACGCCTGTCTCCATTTGGCTCGGTCCAGAGCATCCTCCGGGGCGATGTTGGCGTGCCGCATATCGTCCTTCAAACGGTCGAGCCATCGCTTCTTGGGCCTTCCGTGTGGTCGCTTGCCGTGCGGGCTTAGTCGAAGTGCTGTTCTCGCCACCGATCCTTCGTCGCTTCTTACGACGTGGCCATACCACCGGAGTCATCCTTCTCGCATCTTCTCCACGATTGGGGCGATGCCCATCTGCTTTCTGACGTCTTCGTTTGTCACATGTCGTGGTCCCATTGGGTCAGACCAAGACACCATCGCAGCATTCGCATTTCCATTGTGTGAAGGGCCTGCTCGTGCTTGGATGTTGCCGGCCAGCACTCCGATCCATAGAGGGCTATGGAACATACCACGTTCTTGTAAATCTTGGCTTTCATTCGAATGGGCAGTCATCGATGGCGGCATTGACTCGGGTTCGGGCGTCTGGGAGGGTGTCGCCGTCGCTGCTGATGACAGATCCGAGATACTTGAAATTGGTCGCCTTCTTCAGATCCTTGCCGTCAATGCTGATGGCTCCGTTCGTCTGAGGCACGCATTCCATATACTCGGTCTTCTTGATGTTTAGCCGCATTCCGTAATTGTCCAGTCGGGTCTTCCATTGCTGCGTTTGGTCTTGCAGCTGTTGACGGTCTTCGCTTGCCAAGAATACGTCGTCAGCGAAGAGAAGCGAGCACGGATGGGCAGTTTGGATGTCAGCCGTCACGGTGTCCATGCATAGGATGAATAGGAGCGGCGAGAGGGCTGATCCTTGATGGACTCCGATGGTGATGGGGAAGGACGGTGATGTTCCGAGCGGGGTTCGAACCACGCTGGTGACGTTGCGGTAAAAGCACTTGGATCCATTGGACGTAGGCCTCAGGCACGTTGTGGGACCAGAGGGCATGCCAGATAAGGTCGTGCGGAATTTTGTCTAACGCTTTTTCGAGATCCAGGAAGGTATGCTCTTGTTTTTAATTTAATATTATTTATAATAAATAATTATTTATTGTTCTATTGTTTTATTATTAATATTATTATTCAATTATTGTTCATATTAATTCTAATTAATTGTATATTTATGGTTTTTTTTTAACCCGTGAAATTAAAACTAAATTTGAAATTAAAAATTGAATTTAAAAAAATAGAAATTAAACATTAGACAAGCATCAGACAGACGAGCATGACTTGAGCGGTAGATTATCGTGAGCGGTGACCCGGATGTAGCGGCGCTCTACCTCCACTCGTCTGATCCTCTTATCAGCGAAAGGCGGCCGAGATGGATGTTGTCAACCAGGTAGGGCTTTCAATCACAGCTATTCACCGAATACATTCTGCAATGTACTGCAAACTCCTCACAGACCTACAGGCAAACAGGCTACTGTTATCTGACTGACCGGCGTTGATTTAACAGAACGGATAACGCAGTTTAAATCGGTCAAGAACATAACGTTACCTAGACACGACGTCTCGTTGACTTTCAGGGAATCCCTGCTGGATGCCACCAAATAAAACACAACAGAAAACCGTTAGCAATTCAAGACATTTCTCGTGAAACCGGTAAACAACACTAGGATTTATGCAGAGCATTGCGACGGTGGTATTTTATACTGCAGTATATATTTTTTTAATTAAGAATGACGGAACTAATGCGCAACTATTTTCAAACGGGATGCTATATGGTTCACATAGCCCAGACTGGCTGTTCAAATAGCCTAATGTCTCTGTTTTCATGATGCATCTGTGAGATGATGAGGCGTTAAGGACGAGAGCCGTCTGCGGAATCTGTATTCACACTGAAGTCCAATTCGCGAGTGAATCTTTTTTGAACCGGTTCTTTTTAGTGATTCGATCGAACCGATTCCCAAATTCAGGAAGAATTTTCTGACTAAAACTGTGAGTAGGTGAATATTGTGGAACTGTAGCCAACCTATATAGCCAAAGAATTAAACTTAAAGTGCTGATTTTGATCGACGCCACAAACGATTCGGTGAACTAGTTCATCGAGCCAAGCTGTCCGACAGAACCGATTCGCTCAAACGATTCACTCAGACTTCAGAATAGTTTTTATTCAGTCAGTGTTTGTCAGTTATCACATCGTAACAGAACAGGGGTATCACACGCTGGGTTACAGCAGATGGCATATGGTTTGCATTAAAGCGCGAGGTGAGAGATGACATGTGAAGTGCCGCATTCACTCGCGTGCTCTCTGGCCTTGCGCCCGCTGTGCGAGTCAGATGTATCTGTAGCCTGTAAATGCTCGCCAGTTGCACTTTCATAAAGGTAACGTTGAGATAAGCAGCTTTGACTAATTCTAATGCTCTCCTCTCGCGTGCGCTCTATTGGTCTCTCTGTCGTCATCACGGTCAGGTTATTACAGTGTATTTATTAAGAGAAAGAAGCCAAATGCAACATACCTGCATTATCCACCATAATATGTGACCGTGTGCTCAGTAGAGGTAATAAGCTGCAAAATACCCCATACAGTGCACACACAGACAGATAGATGCTCTAGATACTACATTTTGTAATCAATGTCAAATTTTTCATTTTACGGTACATTTTAAAATTAATACAATTTTGTGTGGCTTTACAGAAGTACACTTATTTTAATGTGTTGACCGACATCCTAAAGCATGTACAGTACTTGATTATAATTGTAACTGTAGTGTGTCATTTCATTTTCAATTTAAAGTTAATATATTTTTAAATGTACTGAACTGCAACTTCATCATTACAAATCTGTAATTATACATGTATTCAAATACAAGGCATACAAGTTTCAATAGAAATAGCATTAAAGTATATTTTAGTTTAACAAGTGCTTGTCAGTACATTCAGCTAAACATATTTCAAGGACAATAGAAATAATTATGACATTACATATAAGGATAGTCCTACTTAAGTGGTTCAGAAAGCCACTCTGTTGTAGTTAATGTAGTTTAAATACAACTTTACTTGCAGTTAACATGCATTTAAGTGCCTGAAAACATCAGTTCACACTGAAGTATATATACGGTAAGTACTCTTTTTAAAAGTGTGCTAAAGTGTACTCATTTTTCACATACCAGGTTTGATGTTTTATATAGCTGTAATTTTTGTTGCTGATATTATTTATGTGTTTATTTTTTAGCTGGTGTCCACTGGGCAGTTCACAGTCATCAAACAGCCATTAGGGTTCATTAAAATCTTACAATGGGTGAGTAATTAAAGACCTTGCATGGTGTTGTTTTTAATCTTGCTATTTTTTTTTTAAACATAATGCCTTTTTCTTTCCTTTATATTATTTCCTTCTACAAAACTGTAGAATATCTTAGGTTTGCAACTTTGTAAAACTGTAATTTTACTGAAAGCACTGGTATTTTCTTACAAGAATCACAAATCTAGTTAATCTCAATAATAGCTGGCAGTAAACAAAACACACACATGCATGGTATTGTTCACAGCTGGAGTGGTAGGCTCTGAACAGTCACTGCTGCTTGCGTAACCCACGCTTGGAGAGGAACCTAACGCTAGTTTACAGTCAAGAGATCTAGGAAATCAAAGCTGTCCGTTATGAATCATCTACAATTCTAACCTGTGAGCTTGCAAACAAGTGTGTTTGTGCATCTTTGAAGCTGTAAAATACATATTTTACATTAATAATTTAATACACTATTGATACATTAATAATTTAATTACAATAATTGAATTCAGTTACATTTTAAAAATTTTTTCCCCTGAAATTCTGCTGTATTAAAACATTAGGCAGATATACTGGGTTCTTCTGACACTTTGGTTCGCTGTGATATGCCATGTGTTTATGGCCAGTTCTGACTAATTTTCTATTTAAAGCTTCCTACAATAATTAATTGCTCAGAATTAGACAGACATTTAGAGACCAGAGCTGGCATGAATCCTCAGTAAACATATGGTCTTGGTTCTTTCCAGCAAAACTTTGTCAAAATTGCAGAATGATGTCAAAGTCTGCGGTTGAAATGAGGCTTTATTGTATAAATATGGTTTGGATGCATTCACAAATTCAACCCACATTGATTGAGCTACTGTTATTTCAAAATTGAAAAAACAAACAGAATAGTTTAAACAGATTTAATATCTTAATATACAATAATAGACATTTTTATATGATGACAACATAACAGTGATCTAAATGTTTTTAATTTATTTCTGACTTCAGTATAAACTAGAGCCAATAAATGCAGCACAGTGCTTTAGGGCATTTTCATGCCTCTATAAATTGTTAGGATCACAATAGAAAAAAAAAACGGAATTTTAGTTACATCAGTCATTATTCTTTCTTTCATTTATTCCTTACAGTTGAAAATCCTAAAGGAAGGCTTTTAGGACTCCTCTCCTCATTTGGAACCAATCCTACATGATCATAATGTCAATTTTCTTATAGGATAGGCCTGGGCGATAAAACGGTATCGATATTTATTGACGGTACACCTTCTTCGATAACGATATAAAAAAAGTTAGATATAGCGCACGATATAGTCACGTGCTATGAGTGACGCAGACAGCACACACAAACACAAACACATGCTGAAATGAGTGCTGTGCCTGCCTGTGATGAGGAGATTGTGAATAAAGAATGAATATTAGTCGAATTTAAAATAAACATTTGCATTTGAATGTTAGGACTAGGAGTGCGAGGGAGCATCATCAGTGGCGCACGAGATGCGGTGATAATGATGTAAGTGACGTTGTTGCATTTTAATGTTTTGTTAGTCTAGCCCACGAGACGCGCCGCTGCTGCGTTATTCATTCAAAATATTAGAGAAATATAGAAGCGCAATGCGGAGTAGATCTTGATTAGGTTCAAACCGAAACCAAGCCATTCACACAGAACGCATATTCAGCGCATTTTTTAGACGGACAAATATGACTGCTGCACTCGCGTCTCACACAAGAGATGTATAGAAAGCCATGCAAAGCTAAAACAGTTTAAACTTTTAGAAAACACGTCGCGAATTTGTGGAGGTTTATTCCTTTTCACTACGTCTCATGTGTTTTTAAATGCAATCTGTGTGAATGGCACTTCGGCTCTTTGGATTAAGCAATGCATAAATACGTGATGCTGTTTTGTTCATAATTGTTTATGCAATTTATGAAATTATGTTTGATTTATATGAGTTAATTTAGAATGCACGGTTTTTTTTAGAGACAGTTATTTCCCTGCGTTGACCATTTAAATGTGCTGCATTATTTTGCTCATTGCGCCCTCCTGTGGCCTTGGGAGACAAGCCAAAAGTTTCCTTAAAACCTATTTAATCTGCATATAAAACATTAGAAATTAGATATTTAATTTTTATTGTGTTTGACTTTTAAAACAAAAAAATATTTGTTGTTTGTCTCAATGAATTGGGTTAATTTAAAAATACAGTGGTTAAATTTAAACACTTTTTTCTATTGCTCTTTGTTTTAAAAAAGGTTGAAATTGAATTGAAAAATGTCAATAATTATCGATACCGAACGATATGAAACATTATATCGTTGATACATTTTTTAGCTATATCGCCCAGCCCTATTATAGGATTACAATAACACTAAGCAAAAACCTAGATGTCCTAAATGGGAACACATAATTCCTAACTGAACCAGCTGGATGAGATATCCGTGTATCAAAAAGAACTGAAAGAAAATCTGTGGGGATTTGAAAACTTCTAAAGCTGTAGCTGTTCTGCAAGACGTGATTTAATTACAAACCAAGCAGAGTTCACACAATATCCAGCAGGATTCTAGGAATCAAACAAGATCCTGGATCTGAAATTCCTATCGGATGTTTCGATTCTTGTTTTATTTTTGGAATTCTTTCTTTTTTTTTTTTTCAACAGCTGTCAAGATATACAGTATTACAAATAAAGTAGAAGCCCTGGCCCTTTATTAATGCAAAAGCAAAACGATTGATCTTGCGTGATATTCTTTCTGTTGTTTTTTGTATCATCTTTTTCATCAGTCCTGTAGCCATCTAACAAATATAATCACTCAGTGCAATAAGAAGTGTTGTGTTCATTACATCTGGTGCTTGTGCCATATTATGCCAGTGACTATTTGTGTACCAAGATTCACATGTTGTGCAATTACTGTAAATAATTAATATAATTGTAATATAAATAAAAATCAACTTATTTACTTACCAGCCATGATGTGACCCACCTTCAACCTTGAAATGTGGTTTAACTAAAAGTCAGCTTTTGTTTCATTGTCAGAAAAACATTGAAACAATGATTAATGCTAAATGGCTGTTAACATGTGAACAAATTGTGAATAAATCAACACTGAAATTTTAATTCTCCCATGTTGAACAGCAAGACATTGACAGTGTTGCTGCATCAGTGCTGATTCGTTTTGAAAAATCAAAAATCAAAATTTAGTAGTGATTCAGTTACGATCCATGTCGTTGATTCATTTTGTGTATTCATGTTTTTCAAATGGATAGTTTACCCAAATTCTGTCATCATTTACACACCCTCATGTCGTTCCAAACCTGTATGAATTTCTTGATTCTGCGGAGCACAAAAGATTTACAAAATATTTAATGCTTATTAGAGTTTACTCCATTAGCTTAGCAACATGCTAACATCAACTGAATGAAACAGAAGTTGTAATCGTGTTTTCTTCACTATTGCACGTAGGAAGTGTGTATCCAACTGTTACTTGAAAGAGAAAAAATGTAGGGCGGGATTCAATTTGGTCCATCGGAAATTGATTGTGTCATTGGATCATTGTCCTTTGAACTTATAAACGTTTACAGACAGACCTACTGTGAGGTTGTTAAATGATAGCATTTGCTTCTGCTGTCAGTCCACAATTTTTCATCTTATTTTTAAAATAATCATGTTTAATAGCAGAATTCATGCTGAAAAACTACATTATATGCTGTACAGAAAATTCCACCAATCAGAGGTGATCTTTAGCTCCGCCCACTGCCATAAAGCACCACAAATTATGTCATTGAGTCAGCCTTCCTAAAAGCTCTCAAAATTGTGTTTGTACATATATTGCAATTAACTTAAAATATATTGTTTTTATATAATCAACATTTTAGTTTTATATTTTTCTCATTTGCAGTGGGATTGTAGTTTATTCTTTCACTAAAGCTGTTATTACACAGTCTTGTACCTTTGTTTTTTGTATGATTTCAAATACTTTTTTGCTTCAAATAAAAGTTTGTAATTATATGATTCTCCTTGTAGATGGTTGGTTTGGCTCATGGCTTATAGCACTTTAACGAAAAAATCCCTATGGGAAGAATGAATGGGAAAAAATACTTCTGGAAAAAAAATGTGGGCGGGTACTAATGCACTCTATTGCTGCAATCTCATGGGATTGACAGGTTGCTGGACAGAGGAGGTTTTTGTCCCGCCCTCATGCCAATAAACACATCATCGGAGAAGAGATGTCGAGGGCACATGAATTTAAGAAAAAAAAATACAATTAATGATGTGCATGGATAAACCATGTATAATAAACTAAATACATTTTAGTGCAGACTTTAAATAAATTAAATAGCATGCAGAGTGCTATTTCCGGCACGTAGAGTTTGTGTCTATGTCAAGCGTTCCAGATCAGTCACTTTTTCCGTGATGGTTTGGATGCTGCCAGTGTAGGCTGTGAGGAAGCTCCCTAGGTTTTGCAACAGAGCTTATGTGTGTGTTTGTGTGTAAATGTGTGTGTGCGCAGAGTGACATTTAGTAGATCGGCACAGTGTGTGTGGTGACAGATGGTGAAGCACCTTAGTTAAGATTAATAGCTGGATTTTCTATTCAATCGGATCTTCCTGCAGTGAAGGGAGGATGTGGTAAAAATACTCTTACCAACTAATCTCTGTCTGTGTGTGTGTGTGTGTGTGTGTGTGTGTGTGTGTGTGTGTGTGAGCACGTGCCTGCACCATTGTGACTTTAGTACACTGGCTAATGCTAGGTGTTCTGTAATTACTGCTTTAATTCCAGTCAGTTCACTAACATTACTGTGATAATTTGTTAACGCCTCATGTTTGTCGCCTCATCTCATTTGCTAAGTATCCATAAAATCACTAGAACGTGCTCACTTCTGTGTTTTCTCTTTATTTTATATTTGAAATGTAACTCCTTTCTTTTAATTGACATTTTTAATTAGAATTTTACAAGTAAAGCCATATATATTTTTTTAAATATATCATTAAATATTTACATTTAGTAATTTAGCAGATGGTTTTATCCAAAGCGACTTACAAATGAGGACAATGGAAGCAATCAAAATCAACAAAAGAGCAATGATATGCAAGTGCTATAACAAGTTTCAGC